CGGCCGCCATCTTGGTTGGGTTAATTTGCATATAGTCGCTCTGATTGGCTGGTGGGGGTGGCTTGGGATGTAGCAGAGGGGTGGTCAATTTGCATGTTTCTCTTTTATTAGATTAGATATGAGAATGCTAGAATAAGATAGTTGAGTTAGATATAAAACTGATTAAAACCCTGTATATTAATCCATAATCTTTGGGGTTATTTTTCTCATCAGACACTAGTTATTTATACCCCTTACCTAACAAAAATTTACCAGCTACCATGTAGTTAATAAACAGTGAGTCCTTGGGTGACTCTGAGTCCTATGTGGCATTGAAAAGCCCTGTTACAGACCTTTTGTCTTTTTTTCCAAGTTGTAGATGATTTTTTGAATAAGACTCCCACTCCTTTAGAAGGGATTAGAGGTCTGAGGATTGTTCATGAATGCCTGATATAGCAAGCTCTGTTTTAGTACACTTTGTAAGTTTGGTATTCCAATGTTAACTGCCTAACAAATAATCTTTAATATTGAGTTTTTGAGGAGTACAAATTGTTCTAAATGGACATGCGAGAAAAGCAAAGGGAGTTTTTATATGCTTAATAGTTTGAAAGTAATCTGCTATGGAATAAACTTTTCATTTTTATGTTCCCTAGGGTTTTCCAGGTGATATTGGTATTCCTGGACAAAATGGCCCTGAAGGATCAAAGGTAAAAAAAATAAAAAAGTATGATATCTATAGTTTTCTATCTCATACTTCAATGAATTGCTTAAAAAATATATTAGGAAATCAGAACTTTTTGTACATTTTTGATCTGTCTCTGGTGCATTTAATGAACTATGTACATCTTGTTTCAAGATAATCAGGAAGTATTTTGCATGTCTGCTTCTTATGGTGTCCTTGGTTATGTTAAAGTATGTTACCCAGTCTTTTGGGTTCAGGTCATTGAAAAAACTCTTTTTCTGGTTTAGTCTAGATTTAGATTAGGATGACAGTGTTTGGAAAGTGCATAAATCATTGAAAACATATTTTTAAAGAGATAAAAAAGACACACCTAAAAAGCCATAGTATATAATAAATGGATGTAAGTGTTCTGACCACTAAAACCCTTTCGTGCTCATAAAGTATCCACAGATTAAAATAAAAAGCCTAGGTGTGCTGGAATTGATATAGCATGAAATATATTTTTTTAAAAAAACTAAGCATTTTAAATTTCCATTACTGTCAAAAATTTAAATACCAAGCTTTGTCAAGCAGGCTGACATAGAATGAACATTATAATAAATAAAGTATTGAGAAAATACAGATATAGAAAGATTTTTTAAAAAGCCTAAAGTTCGAAGAATTATTAGGTTATGAAGTACAGCTGCTGTGGAAGGTTATCTATGGTCCAAAAATATTAAATTGAAAGTTACAGAAATAAGCAGTTCATAAATTTAAATTGCACAATGTTCTCATTAGTGTGATGAAATCTTATGTGGTACTGCTCTGTCCCACCAAGGAAATGAATCATCCCATTGTCCAGAGCATCCAGGCTGGGTGTGCTGCTCACCTTGTAGCCACTTGGTAGCTGTCTTGGTTATCAGATTGATTGTGGCAATATTGGTGTTTATGTTCAAGTAACCCTTATTATAGTTAATAAGGGCCCCAAAGTGCAAGAGTAGTGATGCTTGCAATTTGGATATGTCAGAGAGAAGTTATAAGTGAAAAGTGAATATAGTATAATAAGATATTTTGAGAGAGAAAGAGAATGAACACATTAACATAATTTTAATTGCAGTATATTACTATAATTGTTCTATTTTATTATTGCTATTGTTAATTTCTTATTATTCCTAATTTATAAATTAAACTTTACCATAGGTGTACACATATAGGAAAAACAATATATTTAGTGTTTGATACTATCCACAGATTCAGGCATTCAGTGAGAGTGTTGGAACGTATCCCCCTCACAGATTGCTATATAGTGCAATAATAAACGTTTTACAGACATCTCATTGAGTCTTCACAGCAGCATTATTAGGTAGTTATTATTCCCATTTTACAGTGGGTTAAGTTGTTCCTCCACAGTCACATAACTATCACTACCTAACCAGGATTCTAACCCAGGTGCAATTTCAAAGTCTGATTTCTCAACCACTTATCTATGGAATTAAATTGTGGAGAGCATTCAATACCATCATGAAGAGTTTTTACCCCTAACTTAACTCTAGGGCTGTATCACATATAGAAATATTTTGATGTTTGCAACCACAGTAAAACAAGGACTTATATTTTTGATATTTATGTTATATATTTAAATGCCATTTAACAAAAAAAAAATCAACCAAAAAAATGAGTTCGCATGTCACCTCTGACACGCATGTCATAGGTTCGCCATCACTGCCCTAGGGCTACAAAGATGAAAAGTTCTGATCCCTACTTTCAAGAAACTTACAATCTAGAGAAAGATATGCAGTAAAATCTTTATATTAACCACTAGAGGCCTGATGCACAAAATTCGTGCAAGGGGCTTGGCCCTCGCAGCCCCAGCAGGCTCCTACAGGCCCTCGCAGCCTCAGCCAGCCCTCGCAGCCCCTCACACCCTCAGCCAGGCCTCGCAGCCCCTCGCACCCTTGGCCGGCCCACACAGGCCCTCACAGCCCTTCCCAGCCTTGGCTGGCCCTTGCAGCACCAGCTTCATTCGGGAGGTGGTCCGGACAACCGAAGGATGTCCAGATGGTCGTTCTGCTGTTTGGTCTAATTAGTATATTAACTCTTTATTATATAGGATATGAATAATATATAATATGTAATACTGTATGAGTATAGGGTTGGGGGACTTAGATTACACTTTGTAGACAAGGTAGCACTTGATCTGACATGATGAATGAGTAGGAATTTGCAAACAGACAAGTGAGATGTATGGCATTGAGAGAAAGGAAACTTGTGAGAAAACTCAGTTGCAATAAATATTTGGAACATTTACTAAAAGTTATTCATTGTTTATGTGAAACTCAGATTTCACTTGGCATCCTGTATTTTATCTGGCAACCCTACTGGACATCTATAAACTTTCCCTATCTACAGCAATGTTTGCCCTTTCTCTTTCCATGGAAGAATTCCTCTTTCTCCTAAATGTTCAGGTTCTACATGTGTTTTGCATCAAACCCTCTCTTGACTCCTGAATGACCTCATACCATCAATTACCACCTTTATCCTGATCTCTGACTCAAAATTTCCTCTCTTTGCCCTTAAAATTATTTTCACTGCCAATGTTGTAGTTTAGGCCCTCTTTATTTTTCACCAGGATCAGTGTAATAGCCCTCCAAGTGTTCCTCCTGCCTCCAGTCTGGCACTTTTTCAATGCTACGTCTAAGTTGCTGATGGAATAATGTTTGGAAAGTATAGATGTCATCATGTCACTCTTATGCTTAAATCCTTCAGTAATCACAGCTTCTAGGTTAAGGCTTGTAGTTCTTTACTTTTTACACAAAGTTCCCTGTAGTACAAAGAGTACACAATAAACTAGTGATAACAAGTATAGTATAGTAAATACATAAACCAGTAACATAGTCCTTTCTTATCATTATTAAGTACTAGAAGCCCAGTGCATGAAATTCGTGCACGGGGAGGGGGAGGCGGGGTCCGTCAGCCCAACCTGCACCCTCTCCAATCCAGGAGCCTTCAGGGGATGTCCTACTGACAGCTTAGGCCCACTCCTCGTGGTTCTCTGCTCTCTGCTGTGCCTGGCTGCTTCGCTGCCACCGTGGTGATGAAGCCCTCTCACCACTCTGTCCACTGTCTGTGGGGCCTGGGGGCTTCGCCACCGCCACGTGGATGAAGCCCCCATTCCCCTGCTGTCCACTCTCTGTCTTCGGGGCTTGGGGGCTTTGCTGCTGCCACCATGCAAACAAAGCTGCCACGCCCCGCTGTCCGCTCTCTGTCTGCGGGACCTGGGGACTTCGCCGCCACCACGGCAGCAAAGCCCCCATGCCCTGCTGTCCGCTCTCAGCGGTGGGGCTGAAAGGACAGGGGGACTCCAGTGGGGCTGAGGGGAGTGGGCACCGCCATCTTATGGCTATGGGCACCGCCATCTTTGTGATGGCATGAGGTTCAATTTGCATATTCCCTCTTTATCAGCTAGGATTATGTACTGTGCATAATTGTATGTACTCTATCTTCATAGGGCCGGCAATGCAGTAGGTCTATTTACACCAGCATCACCGCAAAAACACAAGTAATGTGTTGCACTCTGACTTCAGGATGGCTATGGCAGCATTAGGCAATAGGAATTTTTCAGCTCCAGTATAATCGTATGGGACCACTGCCATATACATGGCCTATTATTGACCAGACATTTTGTGGCACATGATATAGATTTACCATCACTCTTCTGAAGGCATTATCCCAGCTAACCTGTTTAGTGTAACAAACTGTGCCATGCTTGTCTAAATCTCACAGAGCTCTGCATGCTGTTCTTTTTGTCTGGATATTTTTCCATCTTCCTGTGCCCTACTTTATTAGCTAACACCTTCACATCATGTACCACATTGTCCAGGGAGCTTTCCCTGTTCCTTCCAAATCTAATCAAGATAACCTTTCTCTGTATTCCTGAAAAAACAATCTATCAAGCACTTATTTTTATATATATTATAACTGCTGGTTTGCTTATATCTCTATCAGACTGTAAGCTGTTTGAGAGAAGAGACTAATTGATTTTATACATATCACAATAATCATAATATCTATAGCACATAATAGGAGCACAATAGATATTGGCTGAATAGATTATTGAAAGAATATTAAAAGCTCAGGAGTAGGAGCAGTTTTGGAGGAGGGGAAAAAAGAAGTTTGATTCTGGGTATATTTAGTTTGCAGTACCTTTTTGACATCAAGGCAGAAAGCATCACTAATAATAAAGAAAGCTGAAAAATATAAATAGTAGCATGAAGGGAAGCTGAGATAGACATGTAGTATAGAGAATGGAGTTATGAATTTCTTATGTCTAGTTTTAGTCATTCACCTGCTGTATACTCGGGCATTTGAACTTGATACATATATAAACATGTTTATTTATTTATGAATTCTTTATTAGAATTTATTGAGTTTATTCTATGTGTTAGTACAAGTACTAAGTGTAGGTTATAAAGATTTTTAAACCATGGCCCGTCTCCTGGATGAGGTTACAATTTAGTGAGAATTTTTTTTAAATCACAAAATGTTGTAAGAATTGCTATGTAAAAAGTTGGTGAAATGCTGTGAGAGTCCAGATAATTGAGCAATAGATTCTGCCTTGGGCTATTGGAAATTACTTCAAGAGGAAGTGATAATTGAACTTAATGTTTTTAAGCCTGTATATCATACTAGGTGAAGTATTAATAGTGATCTTTGAAACTTCCTTCCCATGACTTCCTTTAGTTGTAGAATTACAGTGCTTAAAAATGGTACAAAAGACCTGAAAGCCAGATATTTTCATGAAACCCAAAGGTTGAATTTCCAACGGGTAATAATTATTTTGTGGATTACTTTGTCGCCTCATTAACACCAACAGCATTAGACTAATTTATACACATTACTGAATTTTAAAATACTATCTAGAAGATATATATTTTATTATCAAAAGAACCATAATAGTTTAAAGGAAGAAGGATATAATTTTATGTTTTGTAGGTTGAGAAGGATCTGCTTTTGTCTCTCTTCTTGGTCCTTACTGTTTGCCTTGAAATTGTTTAGAAACAGAAAGGAACAACAAAGACAAACAGACTGACCCTGTTCGCATGATGTGTTTCTTTAGTTGTGTACACTGTATCATGGAAGCATCTTTAAACTAACTTTATTTTTATATATGGGCATTGATTGGGAAGTAGGCTATAGAAAGTGGTCATCAGGAAAATCATGTCCATTGTACTTGAAATATGTGGCTGCCCTATTGGCAAACAAATTGGGTTCTTTCCAGAGCAATTTGGCATAGCTTTAAAGAAACCTTTCATTTTTTCTTCATTTTCTGCCAGTTGACTAAAAGACTAAAACTATGATTAGAAACTTGTGTTAATTATGGCTCTATTAATTATGGAGTTGTGTGTGTGTATATATATGTTGTGTGTGTGTGTGTGTGTGTGTGTGTGTGTATAGACACAAACACTTCAGCAAACCTTCTTGTGAGCTGAGCTACCCAATTTGGAAATATGCTTTCAAGTATCCCATAACATTAGCAAAACCACATCCTTTGCTGCTTACTGCAAAAGGTGACTACTGGTCTCTGTTTTCCAGTAAACAGAGAAATTATGTGTTGCTACAATGGTTTGTATTGTTACTTTGGCTATGGAAATAAGGATAGTAAAAGGCTGTTATTGTCTTTTACCTAACATCTCGAATAAATTATTACAGAATAACTTCTGTTTGTGAGATTATGTTATAGAATATATAGAGATAAATTTTACATTGAACTATTAAAATATGTGTTTACCTAGATGGAAGTGTGCTAATTTGGTAAAAGGAAAATGCTTAACTCTAAATATTTCCCTGAGATTGTCTCAATTCAGCCTTGAAGGTTTACATTCCATACACTAAATCAAGATATTTATACACAGATTTCTTATATTAACCATTTTATCCTCCTGGCAGCCTTTAGTCAGCTAGAAATATTTATTGAGCTTGTATAATGGGGGATGTACTGCGTTCAGAAATATTTATTGAGTTGGTTAAGCAATTACTTGGTTTTCTGTCTACTAAGAACTTGTAATCCTCTGAAAAAGTGAGATTTCTATGTGAAAAGTTAAATGCATTAGTAGGCAGCATGTAATAGGTGAATAATAAGGACACCAGAAGAGAGAATAACTTATGTGGCTATTTTTCTGAGAAATTTTTTTTAAAATTAGGATTTTAGTTGGATGGGTTGGATTTGGCCGTGCAGAGCTAATGGATGAGAGATCCCACGCAATTGGTTCAAAATGGATACAAGTATGCAGGGCAGAAGTAAAACCACCTGACTTAAAAGAAAAGTTAGGAGGCAGATAGTGACAGATCTTAAATATAAATCTGAGACATTTCAATGCTAATAAAACCATGGAAGACTTTTATATATTGTGGTTAAAACATATAACATGAAATGTACTCTCTTACATTTTTAATAATACAGTACAATGCAGTATTACTAACCATGTGTACATTATTGTACAGTTTAGATCTCTAAACTGTTCTTTTCTTGTGTGACTGAAAATCTATACCATTGAACAGCAATTTCTCAGTTCTACCTCCCCAACCCCTGTCAGCCACCATTCTACATTCTGGTTCTACAAATATCACTACTTTTTATATCTCATGTAAGTAAAGTAATTTAAAATAAAATAAATTTCTGTGACTGGCATATTTCACTTAGCATAAGGTCTTCAAAGTTCACCCATGTAATAGGATATGTCAAAATTTCCTTCTTTTTTTAAAGATTGAATAACAAATCATTTTCTGGTGTCCAAAAATTCACACATTTTCTTTACCCATTCATCTATCCATCAATGGACATTTCAGTTGTTTCCACCTATAGGATATTGTAAATCATGTTGAAATGAGCATGGGAGTGTATGTAGATAGCACTTCGAAATCCTGGTGTGTGTTTTTTTTATAAATAACCAGAGGTGGGATGACTGGATCACATAGTAGTTCTATTTCTAATTTTTGGAGTAACCCCATACCGTTTTTCCTAGTGGCTGCACCATTTTACATTCTCACCAACAGTGCACAGCATTCCAATTTTTCTACATCCTAGCCAGTATTTATTATTTTCTATTTGTATGTGGGTTTTTATTTTATTATAGTAGCCATTCTAACAGATGTGAGGTGGTAGGTTTTTCATTGTGGCTTTGATTTGCATTTCCCTGTTGATTATTGATGTTGAGTATTTTTATATATACCTGTTAGTCGTTTGTATGTTTTATTTGGAGAAAATGTCTAACTCAAAGTTCTTTACCTATTATTTTAATTGGATTATTTAGTTTTTACTATTGGGTTATAGGAGTTTCTTAAATTTTTTATAAATTAAACCATTATCAGGTTTATGATTCACAAATATTTTCTCTCTCATTCTGTAGGTTGCCTTTCCACTCTATTGATTGTTTTTTATTTATTAACTAGAGGCCGGTGCATAAAATTCGTGCACAGGTAGGGTCCCTAGGCCTGGCAGGCAATCAGGGCTGATCAGGTTCTCCGCCTCCCCGCCTCCTGCCTCCTCCTTCCCTTGCTCCCTCAGCACCCACCCCGTGACCCCCGCTGATGCTGTTCATCAGCCATGTTCCACAGCACCCCCTGGTGATCAGTGCACATCATAGTGAGGGATCGAACTCCTGGTTTCCCAAATTCCCAAGGGGGCAATTTGCATATTAGCCTTTTATTATATAGGGTAGCTTGTGCAGAAGTCTTTACTAGTTTATTTTGCTTTCGTTTTTCTTTTCTTTTTTAAAAAATATTTTTTATTGATTTCAGAGAGGAACGGAGAGGTAGAGAAAGGTAGAAACATCAATGATGAGAGAGAATCATCAATTGGCTGCCTCCTGCACACCCCCCACTGGGGATCAAGCCTTCAACCCAGGCATGTGCTCTTAACCGGAATCGAACCCAGGATCCTTCACCCCGCAGGCCGACTCTCTATCCACTGAGCAAAACCAGCCAGGGCTTGTTCTCCTTTTTCTGTGCCTCATATCTAAAACAATCATTGCCAAGATTGATGTTAAGGAGCTTTCTGCATATGTTTTCTTCTAAGAGTTTTGCAGTTTCAGGTCTTATTGTTTAAGCCTTCAATTTTGTGAGGCCCTTCAGCTTTGTTCATTATTCTCAAGGTTGTTTGTCTATTCAGGGTCCTCTGTAGTTCCGTATGAATTCAGGATGTTTCTATATCTGCAAGAAATGCCATTGACATCTAGGTAGGGATTGCATTGACTCTGTAGATAACTTTGGGTAGTATGGACATTTTAGCAATAGTAAGTGTTTCAGTCCATGAACATGGGATGTCTTTCCATTGTGTCTTCTTTAATTTCTGTCATCAATGTTTTGTAGTTTTTTATTGTATAAGTCTTTCACCCCTTGGTTAAGTTCATTCCTAAATATTTTATTCTTTTTTTATGTTATGGTAAATTAGATGTTTTCTTCATTTCCTTTTTTAATTATTTGTTGTTAGTGTTGGTCTGTAATTTTTTTCCTTGCAGTGTCTTTGTCTGGCTTTGGTATCAGGGTAATGCTGGCCCCATAGAATAAGTTGTCTGTAAGAGTTTGAAAAGTATTTACATGAATTATTCTCTAAATGTGGTATAGAATTCTCCAGTGAAGTCATCTGGTCCCAGGCTTATTTTAGGGGGTGAGTGTGGGAAGTTGATTACTGATTAAATATCCTCAATAGTTATAAGTCTGTTCAGATTTTGTATTTATCTATGATTCAGTTTGGTAGGTTGTATGTTTCTAGGAATTTTATTTATTCCTTCTAGGTAATCCCATTTGTTGTTATGTAATTGTTCATATTAGTCTCTTATGATTCTTTTTATTTCTGTGCCATTAGTTCTAATGTCCCTTCTGAATAAGAAAAATGTTGCCATGTTGAGAAAAATGTATAGGGTATTTTCTGAAATAGGAATTTTTCAAAATTATTTCAATCAATTATTATTCAGCAAGTATTTGATTTTTAACAATATGCATTTTGTTTCTCAAAAGGTTTTCCCTTAATTTTGAAATTCCTAATCATGTTCAGATTGTTAGTTTATTTTATAAATTGCCTTTTACCAGCTTGTATCATGAAGGGAGATTATTTGAAGAACACTTAGTATATGAATGATTTATTCCAGACTCTGTTGGTCTCTTAACAAATTAAAACATTATATATCCCCTCTATCTGTTTTCAGACTTTGTAAATCCTCTATTATGTATTTATTGTACTATTATCATATTAACAATGAGAACTATTGCTTTAAATTTAGAAATACTTTTTCTGAAAAAGGTGTCTCATTGAAGAGTAGTACACTGGGCAGATTATTTGAACACTAACATACTGTTTAAAATAAGTTTATCCTATGTTTCACAACTTTTTGTATGCTCTGTAGTTTTCTGCTCATCTACCCACTCACCCTATTTTGATAACCTCCTAATGGGAAATGAATGGTACTAAATAGTATTGCCAATCTCCAGGTTAATGCTGATTGAAAAAACATTGAGCTAAAGTTCTCATTATGTGTGCTTATGTTGTTTTTATAGGGAGTCCTTGGAAATAGAGGACCTCCTGGACCTTCTGGTGTCAAAGGAACTCAGGTATGGAGGAAATAAATATCCAATCAGCAATTTTTTGTTTAGTCTTTCCCCTTTTAATTTTTGTGGGACATTAGTTTTTGCTTAAAGAAAACATTGCTTTACTGTCAATTTTTGCCTTAGAGGATTTCAAGTTGCCATTTTATACTAGCAGTTGTGCGATGGGATTTGGAGTCATTCTGCAGTGTTCTGAATTCATTAAGTGATTTACGTCAGTGGACTCCATGGAACATCTGAAGAATCTGAGCCTAGAATCTCACTTATATGTAGTAGTAGAATTTATATTTACTATTTATGTCCATTTTATATTTGTGACCAATAAATTATGTTTTTATTGAATTGTGAATCGAGCAAAATGTTTTTTAACTAAATAAGAATATATAATTTTAGAAAGTTCTGTATATATTCTTCAGATGTGGTAACATAAACTTTTATTTAAAGGTGAAAAATCAGTATACTAATATTTAGAAAACATGTCAATAAATGGAATAAAAACTGTTTTTACTTTTTTATTTTCTTAAAGAATAATGTATAAAAATTTAGCTTTAGGAATTTCTTGACCTGGCTAGTGTGGCTCAGTCAATCGGCACATCATTCTATGGATTCTATATATCTTTGTATCTCTGTGGCTTAACACAGAACTAAGACTCAAAAAGACATTTGTTGAATGAATGAAGTGCCAAGTGCAAACATATTCTGTACCAATAATTTTTTAATATACAAATGCATATTGATTCTATTAAAAACTTAATTGAGTTCCTCTCTGTATCAGAGAGATATTGAGTCCAAGAAGGTAAAGGTAAATCCTTAATTCATGGTCTTAGTGATGCTGAATCCTAATTTTTGTGATACTCTAATCATTTTCACTGTTATTCACTCTCATTTATCTATATATAACTTATATCATCCACTAATTTAAAAATAATCCAACAGTACATGTCTCCTTTAGAGTAGATGTGGGGTTGTCACAGAAAAAGTTAAAATACAAAAAAAATCACAGAATTATTTTCATCATGTCTCAGAATGAGCTTCAGATTTCAAAATAAATAGAGAGAATAGGATTTATATTTTTAATACTTATTTTAGGCCATGATATGTTCTGATTTTTTTAAGGGAGAAGAAGGACCAATGGGACCCGTTGGAGAACTAGGGCCACGAGTAAGTATCATATAAATAATTTTCAAAAAAAATAAGTTATAAAGGGGACAAATGTAGTACTTTCAACAATAAAGATTTTTTTAAGTGTTCCTCTTAAAACAACTATTCTATGAATGTTTTTCAATAGCACCAAATTTTGTTATAGCAAAGGATAAAAATGAAAACAAATTATAGCCAAACAATACCCCAAATAAAATAGGCCTGGTCACACCCAACTGCCCTCCCCTGCCGGCCCAATCCCCCCCAACAGTCGTACATCCCTCAAGCGGTACGAGATTAGAGAGGGTGCAGGCCGGATTGAGGGACAGCCCCCACTCCTGTGCATGAATTTCATGCACTGAGCCTCTAATTGTGTGTGTGTGTGTGTGTGTATGTGTGTGTGTGTTTTGCCACTATTCCATTGAGGAAAAAAAGGTTTTTTATTTTATTTTTTTGTGAGGTGAGTTATAAACAAAAACACTATTGTTATTTAAGTTCAGTATAATTGATACTGAAGTTTACCTCCCTAGAAAACAGGGGAACCATGTTCACCTCTGTTCTACCCAGACTTAATATTTATTAGTATTGTTGCTACTATTGGTTAAAGATCAATTTAGGGCTAGTATTGCCCTAAGTATATCACATGATATCATCTCTAATCCTAAAAACAACCCTGCAGGATATTGTCTGCATTTTTAGATATGAAAATAAGGCCTTCATATTATATTCTTTTTTTAATTCTTTATTGTTTAAGGTATTACATGAGTCTCCTTTTTCTCCCAATTGACCTCTCCCCCGCCGCCCCCTTGCCCAAGCACATGCCCTCACCCCCCTACTGTCTGTGTCCATTGGTTTTGCTCATATGCATGCACACAGTCCTTTTGTTGTTCTCTTACCCCCTCATCCTCCCCACCACCACCTTCCCTCATAGGTTGTACAGCCGTATTTTAAGCACAACATGCTCAAGATAAATCTAATATGACAGAACTTACACAGGACCAGAAGTGACGATTCCAAGCCTGAAGTACTTGATTTCAAAGAGATTGTAAATGTGCTAATATCAGATTCCTGTGAGAGTCATTTCACTTTGTAGATATGATGTGTAACTATTTCTTGATATACTACAGTGCCTGAGTATCGCATTATTACAGATGAAAGAAATATTATCAGTAAAACCTTTTCCAAATAGTGTGAATAAAATATAGTATAATTTTTTTGTAAATGTCATAGACAGATCTAATAATTTATTCTTAATGATATTTTTCTGCTGTATTTTCAAGTTCATTAGAAAGCAATTGATATTTAACAATAATAGTATGATTTGTTTATACTTTATTCTACTTTGTGCTCAGTGAGAAACCACTAGAAAATTTCAAGCAAGGTAGAGGCAAAAATTAGAACAACCTAAGTCCTAAGTATAATATTAATTAGCTAAAATCTTTAGATGTAGTCAAAGTGGAATGAGAGCCAGGGGGTTGTTTTATTTGTTGTATTTTAAGAAAGAAAAATATGAGAGTATTTGTTAATGAGTAGGAATAATAAAATCCAAATCTATAATGCCTAGTAGATATTATAACTTAGTGTTCTATTTATCAATCTCCTCCCATATTGTTTCTAGTCCTAGATTTGCATTTGTCACACACATTAGTTGAGACACAGTGATATCCTTAATCAAATCTTGTATAATCAGGGTCAGTTATTATACATTAGAAACCACATACTATAGATTAATGTCCACAATATCTGGGATATTGACTTTCTCTCTTTCAGTGACCTTATCTTTTACTATTTTCAGCTACTAACTGCTATGGTCATATCCTTTACCACATCATTACCAGTAACAACAACCTCTCCTTATTTTCCATTTCAAACTTCTCACTGCCCAATCATCTACTTTCTTTCTAGTATATTCTTTTTTGTAAACCACCCCAACATTACCTATAGGAATTTCAATCCAATAACCCTATTGCCATTCCATTATTCTTTATCTCTGCCATGACTTCACAGCATTTCTCATCATGCTTAAAACATTATAATTATCCCTTTGTTTATATTCAGAATTCTCTTTCCATACTCATTTACTTTTACTTATTTACATTATTATTTTACTAGAGGCCCAGTGCACGAATTCATGCACAGGTAGCGTCTGGCCTGCCCACCCCCCTAACCCCCACCATCAGGGATGATCAGGCTGGGCTGGCCAGGGGGAGGGGATGTGGGATGAGGGGGCAGGGCTGGTTAGGGGAAGGAGCTTAGGTGCTTGGCAGGCTGGCCCCACCCCCTGGTCAAATTTCCAGTCAAACTCCCAGTTGAGGGGACAATTTGCATATTATCCTTTTATTATATAGGATACTTT